TCAGCAGTGCGAGGGCTTCTAGTATCCTGGCCCCACCGCTGGACCTCCTGATGGCACCTGGTATTTCTGGCCACTGTGTGACCCAGAGTGTTGGGCTGGATGGGCCATTGGCCTGTTCCAACATGGGCGTCTCTCATGTTCTTCTGGGGCCCCCACGTTGTGTGTTACCTGAATGTCGTATTCGACTGTGCTCCACTCCCGAGGAATCTTGTCACTCATGGACGCCTGGTAAAGCAGGAGCATGACCACCTGGAGAGAGGCAGAGAGAGAGAGAGAGAGGGAGGGATCCTGGAGGGTTGTTTGATTGTTTTGCCATCGCCTGGGCACAGAGCGGGGGTCACTGGGGGTGTGTGGAGAGGTGTCTATGAATTCCCTGCATTATGCAGGGCGGGTTGGACAAGACGACCCTGGAGGTCCCTCCCAACTCTACGATTTCTAGGATACCTTGGCCAGTTCCAGCTCTTCTCCCGCTAGAAGCTTCTCCTCCGAGACCAGGCCGTGCGCGGTGGATTTGTGCTTGCAGCACTCTGGGGGGGAAGAAGAGAGATGGGGAGAACAGAACGCTCGGCGCCAACCCTGGGAGGAAGACCTCTGCCAGATTTCTGTTACCCACACACCAACTGGGGCAGAAAGGGTAGGCGTCACCCTACTTACAGCATTCAGAGGACCTTGTAGAACTGTAGGCTTTTTAAAGAACAAAAGTCAAGCACGTTTTGGGTGGCGAGGGTTAAAGCTTGAGGGGGAAAGGAGGAGGAGAGAATATACCCCACTTTTTAAGAAGAAGAAGAGATTGGGTTTATACCCCATGGCCCTTCACTACCCGAAGGAGTCTCAGAGTGGCTGACAATCTCCTTTCCCTCCCCCTCCCCACAACAGACACCCTGTGAGGTGGGTGGGGCCGAGAGAACTCTTGACAGAAACTGCCTTTTTCAAGGACAGCTCTTGTCAGAACTACGGCTTGCCCAAGGTCATCCAGCAGGTGCAAGTGGAGGAGTGGGGAAGCAAACCCGGTTCTCCCAGATTAGAGTCCGTGCTCCTAACCACTACACCAAACAGGCTCTCTGTATGTAGGAGAGGAAGAGAAGAGATTGGATTTATACCCCATCCTTCACTACGCAAAGGTGTCTCAGAGCGGCTTACAAACTCCTTTCCCTTCCCCTCCCCACAACAGACACCCTGTGAGGTCGGTAGGGCTGAGAGCTCTCACAGAAACTGCACTTTTTCAAGAACAGCTCTTCTCAGAACTACGGCTTGCCCAAGGTCATCCAGCAGGTGCAAGTGGAGGAGTGGGGAATCAAACCCGGTGCTCCCAGATTAGAGTCCGCGCACTTAACTACACCAAACTGGTTCCTTTCGGCGCACTTAAGAACTACACCAAACTGGCTCCTTTCCTGTCATTGCTTCTAAACCTCTGGGCTGCAACTGATTACAAGGTACACGAGATGCAGCGATGAGAGATTCCATGAGCAGGAGCAGAATGGATGTCACTACAGCTTGCCCAGGGGGCTGGCTGCTTCCAGGACGCAACTAGCTGGCAACCTCTCCAAGCCGCTTTTTTCCTTGCGTAAGGTGCGTGACCACTTTTGGATCACCTCCATGGACCGGTCTGGAAAGAGCCACTTTCCCCAGACTACATGCAAGAAGAAAAACCCCTCTGAGTGACGTCTGGCTGCATCCCCTCCACCCCTTCCCAGAGAGGAAGAGAGACCGCCTTGCTCCGTATGTGCTCCAGAGAGCACTAAGATTGGGATCCCAAAATCGCCTGATTCTTATGGGCCCTAAAGAAGCCAGGCCGGCCACAGCGAGGGCCAGGGCCTTTTCTGTGGCGGCCCCTAACTGGTGGAACAAGGTCCCGGAAGACATCAGGGCCCTGCGGGATCTTTTGCAGTTCTGCAGGGCCTGTAAAACGGAGCTCTTCCACCAGGCTTTCTGTAATGACTCAGGTGGGGGGTCACCTGACGCTGCCACCACCCTGGATTTAGGCTCCCTTGAGAAGGCCCAGCGCACCCTCCCAAGACCTTCAGACCTCCCTTTTGGCCGAATAACAGGCGTGAGGACCAGGCAGAGTGAACAGCAAGGAAAAGGTTTAATTTTATAGGAGGTCAAACAACAAGGTGCAGAATAATAACAGTAAGTGGGTGAAAAGAAATAAAATGCCCTAACGCGTCTAAATATATACTGTCCCTAGTCCACTATCTCAAGTGGCACGAGACTACTCACCCTGCCCACAGGATGAGGGTCTCTTCCTTGCAGCAGCCTTCCTTCTGGCTCTCCCCTCTTGGAAGAAAGAACTGCTTCTGCTCTGGCACCAGCTCTTTTGTTCCCCAGCCCTCTTCTTCCCTATTGGTCCATTTTGGCTCCAAAACCTCTCAGGGGTTTCTGGGAGTTGTAGGCCCAGCCTCACCTACTGCTAGCCAGGCTCCCTGGGCCTAGTAGGCCTCTGGTGGCACAGCCCAGATCATGACACTTTTAAATAGGGTGCCGCCTTTAACGCCCTGGCCCGAACCTCTGCCAGATTTCTGTTCTGCTCTGCCAGCATCCTCACCAACCTGGCGACCAACAGCCTGGCAGGAGCCTGGACTAAGGCGCAGGCGACCATTCAAATGCTGAGAGGACACCGCCATCTTTTATTACGTCTTTGTTCTGAGGGGTTATGGTTTTATATATACTGTGATTTTAACTTAATTCTGTTCTTAGCATATTTTAGAGTTTTAATGTATACAATTATATGTATGTTCTGTAAGCCGCCCTGAGCCTGCTATCGCGGGGAGGGCGGGATAAAAATTTAACAAAATAAATAATTAAATAAGAGGAAGAAGAGGAAAAAGAGGAGGAGGGGATTGGCTTTATACCCCACCCTTCACCCTTTATACCCCACCCTTTATACCCCACTCAGAGCAGCTTACAATCTCCTTTCCCTTCCCCTCCCCACAACTGAAACCAGGTGAGGTAGGTGAGGCTGAGAGAGCTCTTTCAAGAACTGCTCATGAGAGAACAGCTCCAAGAGAACTGTGCCTGACCCAAAGTCACCCAGCTGGACGGCTTCAAGAGATAAACATATGAAGCAAAGGTTCATCAGTGGCTATTAGCCACGAGGTATAGATAGGAACTCTCATAAGAACATAAGGGAAGCCAATGTTGGATCAGGCCAATGGCCCGTCTAGTCCAACACTGTCACACAGTGGCAAAAAATACCAGGTGCCATCAGGAGATCCAGCAGTGGGGCCAGGAAACTAGAAGCCCTCCCATTGTTGCACATAGAACTCTTGGTCTGGGGCAAGTGATGCCCTGTATTCTTGGTGCTGGGGGGCGGGGGTAATAGTGGGAG